TAAATTACTGAAAAAACGCTTTTTTTTTAAATGAAAACTTCTTTAGGCGCTTTTTCAATATTTTATGGAGACTGAATTAGATTTTATCGTCAGATTCTGACATGTAACGCTTGGGTAAAGTCATCTGGAGTCTTTTAAGAATAAATTAATTGAAATGATTTGCTTATGGATTGAAATATCTCAATGACAGTAATCGGATCTGCATATTGGAAGCTAGGGAAATATTCACCATTTCATCCTCTTTTTATTGAGGTATTATTAAAGATAGTATTTAAACCTGAAGCCGTGTCAGAGAGTCGAAAATAAAAAAAATAGTCCCCAAAACCAAGTGACAACGATTTCCATATATAAGATATGGATTAAAATATCTTAGAAAATAAAAATCGGACATGTAAGCAAGAGAAACGTAGAGCATTCTAATGATCTATTATTATAATGAGCTATCAAATATTATTTCAATTGAGTATTATTAATATTGCCTTGTTGATGTTTAAACTTCTATCGTGTGGTCTAAAGCACAAACCTTAGTTTTTTTTTCTTTTAATTACAAATAGTTAAAATAAAATTATTTAATGTAAGGAATCCAACGATTTTCCTGTTTCTCTGAAAGTTATTATCTCATGGCCTTCAGAATTTGTAATTTCTATTCCTGGTATCTTTCAGGAGTCTCTAACCACTTCACAGTTTTCAACTACGTGAAATATTTCGTGGTCACGAGAGAGAAGTGGGGAATCGATTTTACAAAGTCAGATTTTAAATAATTATAAGAACTTCATTTAATTAAGTTTGAAATATAACTTTCAAACTCACGTTAAAAAACATCCATATTTAAATATGGAAATCGATAATATTAATTTATCTATCTAAGCGTATTTCTGTTCAGATAAGAGATCTACCTCCTTCAACAGCCTAAGTATTTGAAACAAGTTAGGGAAGAGGTGATGCTGAGTACTTTCCTTCCCCATGCCTGACATTTCATTATTTCCTGTATTTCCTCGCATTTGCTAATTGTCAACAAAAGTTGACAGGCGCAAATGCATTTTTTATAGACAAAAAAAAAGACTTTTTACAAAAACTTTCAGGACTATAAACAAAACTCCCTGGTACGTTAGTAACATTATATCACATAAAGACCTACAGATGCCAACAGTTAACGACTTCATACCAGCATACTACAAACAATTTCACAATAACATGCCTGATATCACCCGTAGGAGGCTCAAATGAATCTGGCTGAGAGATCTTCTCCACTGACTATAAACATAAAAGTTAGGAAGGGACACCACGGGGCTCTCTTTTCACTCAGGCTTACCAACGTCTTACTCCACACTTTTCATTACCACAGCACACGTTGGTTATTGGTATTCTCAACAGGTGTGAGTTGAAAAATAAAGTAATATAAAAAATAACACATCTGATGCTTTGAAATTTGATTTTAATACGCGATAAACATAATAAATTAATTATAATTATATCAAGGATGAAAAATTACTATCTTCATGTACATCGATAGTTTTTCGAGTGACCTTTTCGTTTGGTACATAGTGGTTTGGTATTTCTAAAATAATCCGATGCACATTACAAATATTCACAAAATACTTGAAAATGGAATCATGAGATCCCTTTGAACTGAATGAAACTCCTTTCGTAAGTGGGATTGGATAAGCAAATACCTATCGAGACTACAGTAACTAGAGGCGAAGGACTTCCGGAAAACGAGAAGTGGTCCTTGAAGGACTTGAAAGGATCTTAGCCTGGAGAGGGTTCCGTTTAAGAGCCACTGGTCCTTCTTCTCTGTACTCTACTCCGGTTAATAAGGTCTAATAAAGGAGTAAATATCAGCCTTATTGAATATTTATGTTTAACAGCAGATTTTTTAAAATTTAAAATAATTAATTATAACTAAACACCATAACCTGGTAAAAACTAGCCTCACTGAATTTACAAAATTAATTACAACATTTGCGAAATCGGTGTGCTCACTTTGGAAAATTAGATTAAATTATGACAAAACACAACATGAAACATTTACACTTCGACGAGAAACCTGCCCACCAGTCTATACCCTATCCAAAGTTAAACCTACATAGGTTTCTCTGTCTATTTGTCGAATATTTGTAGTATTTAAACTTAATTATTAGATAGTGGGAGAAAGTAGGTATTATGAAACAAACATATCAGGTACCTTGAAACATATGTCGTAATAAAAATATAAACTACCTGACCAAAAAAAAAAAAAAAAAAAAGAAAATTATAAGTAAAGTAGATGGGTCAATTTTTCTAAACATACAAGTAAAAAAAAGAAGATATTTTTTTTTACTTTCTAATAAGGTATGCATGTGTTAGGTTGCTTAGTTTTAATTTTCTTAGTTTTAGGTTATTTTATTTTATTATTTATTGCATATACTTTTATGCATACTGATTATTATTTTGCTTCTATTTATTTTACATTTCTTGTACATATAGTATGAATGTTATCCTACCTCACTATAAACAATGTCAAAGAAACAGATTGATGCAAAACTAAATAAATAAATTAAAAAAAAAAAAGACTTTCTAATAAATGATAAAATGTTCTAAAACTTAAGATGCTAAAAAAAGAGAGAAATATTTATTGTAGTCATAAATATAGTTGTAGTCATAAACATTAGATTTTTTTCCTTCGATATTAAGAAAAAATCGAATCCTTTATTTCGATACAATACTGGACGACATGGAAAAAATATATCGATATCTATATAATCCCTACATTCCCAATTACAAGTGAACAACCACATCATTAGGAAATAATCGTGTCATAAGCTATATCTGAAGTCAGCGCTGAATACATTTCCTTACACTGGCTTATGGATTTATACTGGCTACCTGTAGGTATAAATAAAACAAATAGTTGTGGTACTAACTGAGATATAGTAAAAACTTCCTGAGTTATAAAATTAAAGAAAATTTAAATCACGGATGTAAGTCATGACAAAACTTCACTCATTCTACCTCTACATGTCCAGTTTCATTGCATTTCCTAAGATCTTAAAGTAATAGCCACATTGCACGTGATGCGAAGAGATGCAAGGCGATATGGGAACCAGAAATACAACCGAATAATCAATTTTTAAACTGGCACGGAATTGGTTCAAAACTCATTCGAATCCTTAGGACAAGAGAGTTAATTCAAACTGTTAAGCCATGTAACAATTCTCTCCTACAATTTTTAGTTTAATTTATTTATTTTGTACAATATTTTTTTTTTAATTTTACATTTTTTCATCTAAACAAGAAAATAACAATGAAATGGCAAGTACTACCTTACTATACTATTATAAAATTCTAAAACAGTCTAAAAAATACGGTTAAATGGTAACCTACCATCGTTTTATTAATCAAGGCAACAATAAGATTATAGCTTTCAGATGAATCGTGTAATTGGTGCAGACTATTATTAATAGAAATAATTAATAATTATTAAATAGATGAAAAAAGGAAGGTAGGGGTGATCAGTACGAAATAAGAAGGCAAAAATAAATAATAATATTTATTTTAACATTTGCCGACGTTTCGACCTGAAGTTCAGGCCTTCATCAGTGCTAAGAAAAGAACCAGATAACAAAGTAGGGTAGAATAATGACGATAACAACAATTAAGAAATAAATAATAATAACCGTTACAAAGAGTGGAATAATTGTAACTATTTTTTACCTACATTGTTTGTGATTCTCATACCTTGTTATCTTGTTCTTTTCTTAGTCCTGATGAAGGCCTGAACTTCAGATCGAAACGTCGGCAAATGTTAAAATAAATATTATTATTTATTTTTGCCTTTTTATTTCTGGCTGATCACCCCAACCATCTCTTTCTTCATTATTTACCACAGTCAACCATCAACCCATAATTATTAAATGGATGATTTTTTTTTTTAAGATTTTAAATAAAACCGTATTTTGTATCGACTCTCTTCCCTCAATGTTTCAAAGATTAAAATTATCGAGACCGAAACTGATTTTTTAAAATTTTAATGTAGTACATCATATGAAAACTATAGATATTGAATAGTTATATATCGATATACATAAAATTCATTATCTATATTTAAATTTTGAGATAGTACATCTCACATCATGTGATTTAGTTGTTTTGTGATGATGAATTCTGAACAGAAGAAACATATATAGGTTATCTATGAACTGTTTTCTGAAACTTTATTGAAAAATTGGAATAATTTTTATTTAATATTTTTTTTTTATACCGTATAATAAAATGAATCTTTACACTTTATACCAATCTAGTGAAAATGATAAATTTAATCGAAAACTGCAAATATTTTGTCTTCGCATCGCGTGCATTGTGAATCCAGCCTCAAGGTAAGCATTGCCTATAAATATTTTTATACAAATATAATATACCCAATATTCTAAAAACTACATATATAATAAATCAATATAATATAAAATATTTAAATTATAACTGTATGCTACAACTACATGAATGATGCATAAAAAAATTTCTAGGGATTCAAATAATTATTGACTATTATTTAAACAACGAGACATCATTCACAAAACATCTTCATGCTGCTAACATCCAATTTCATTTCACTAAAAAATGTACAAACAATTAGAGTATCTTGCATTGATGTAACATTCACTATAGGATTTCCCCAATGAATGATATTTTCACAGATAATTACACAGAAACATAAAACAAACATGCCACTCAGAACAAACAGAACGGTTAGCAAAATACTCGCCATGGACAGTAACAACATAGACATTATGTTTAATTTCTAATATCAACAGAATACGGTTGCCTGAATTGCCAATCGTGCAAGACCAATACAATGCTATGCACAGAAAAAACTCTTTAATCACTAACAAAAATCCGGACAACATTTAAAGCACAAAAAAAACAAGCAATCACAAATCCTGATACAATTTAATTTTGACATTTAATTTTTGAAACGAGCAACATCAAAATACACAACTCCGAGTTGAATGAAGTTTTCTTACATTTTTGTTCGAATTTGCTTGTTGTCCAATAAATTCAGAAATAAGTATTATTTTTTTTAAAGTGATTTCGAATAAGATCTAAACTATCTCCTCCTGATTCAGAAAACTAGTCCAAATGATGTATAGCTGAAATGACATCAAAATGAATAATCATTAATTCTTTAATATCATTAAAAAAATATGTTAAAATAAAAAAAAAAAAACAGAATCACAGGCTGTTTAAATTCAGCAACAACCAGTTGGATATGTTACTAATATAATTATAATGTGATATAAAAAAATTAACATAAATTTTATTTATTTGGAAAAGTATACAACAGGCCGTGATCCAATATATATATATATATATATATATATATAAAACTATTTATGTAAATAATATTAATAAATAGATTTTTTTTTACTTACTTGAATTATAGATGCTTGAACTTTGGCTTGTTTGAAGTTGATCACATTTTATAGAATAGTTATCTTGAGCCAGGATTGAAAAGATGTCGTCTTCCTATGATCTTCCACTTTCACACCATCAGATTTCCTATTTGATAAAGAATAATAACTTTTTTTTTCATGATTCAATATTTTTTGTTATTGCTGCCATTGTACGACCGAAAGTTGTGGGTTTTCTCTTAGACAAGAAATATTTACATAAACCTGACTCTTACTTAAAAAGAATATTTGATTTCAATATCTTAAACTTCACATATATAAAAAAATATCTAACAGTAGTTTTAAAATTAAGTTATAATACCTTACTTTGAACCACTAGTGGGTCTAGGATTTATTTTGCCCCTCCCCCCTTTCCCCTCAAAAGAAAGAAAAGATTTTTCTGAAGCGAAAACTTCTTTAGGCGCGTTCTGTACTTTTTTGTGGAGAGTGAATTAAAATGAGCCTTCAGATTTTCGATGTGTAACGCTCTGGTAAATTCGGATGGAATCGATTAAGTGAAGTGTTTTTGCATGTGGATTAAAATATCTCAAAAACTAAAAATCGGATCTGGATATTGTATGCAAGGGAAACGTTCAACATTGTATCCACTCGGCAATGGGCTTTTATTCAAAATTGTATCTTAACACGACGCCGTGTTAGAGAGGTGAAAAATAAAAATAATATCGAAAACCAAATGATAACGAGTTTTATGAAACATATGGATTACAATATATCAGAAACTAAAAATCGCACCTGCATAATATAAGCGAGGGAAATGTTCAGCATTTCATAGTCTTTGCAATGAGCAATTATTTATAATTCATATTTCATATTCATAATTTATATTTCATATTATTAATCTCGCTTTGTTGATGTTTTCAATTCTGTCGTGTGGTCTAAATTATACACCTTAGTTTTTTTTTTCATATACATAAGGATAATTATTTTGGATAAAGAAAGAAACTAAGTACCTATTATGAATAATTTTTAATATTTTTCTCTATAAAACATGTTCATATTTTACTATTTTTGGTCCCTCTCTTCTCTGTAAATCAGTCGAGAATCTCGTTCATCATAGTACTACTATTTTTAAAATATATACGTTAGAGGGTAGTCGAAATAATTTAAATTAATAAAATTTAAAAAAAAATTACAACTGAAAAAAAGTAAGGGAATCCTTATCCATCCTAAAGGACACTTTTGTAATTATCCAAGAAAAATATTTTATGAAAAAAATTTTAATTATTTTCTGTTGCTATTAAAAATAATGAAGATCATATCACTGTATGACTAGATGGACGATAAGGTACCAAAGCTGAGGAAAGTCATAATCAAACAGCTTATCGGGGGAAAATACAGATTAAACCTTATTATTATAAATTTGTCTTCGTATTTTTTTTTTTATTTTTTGTTACATATTTTATTTTTTGTTTTGTGGTTGAATATTACATGTTTTTATCCTGTGGTCATCATGTTTTAGGCTGTGTGGTTAGAATTTTTTCTAATTAAAAATATTTTATTTTATAGTAAATGTAGCGTAAATCGGTGTTACTTTGCGACAAAAGTGTTACTATGTACTAGAGACAATTTTGAATTTAAAATCATCTGTCGGACTGGAAAATTGTTATATCAAGAATAAAAGAAAGTTGTATCAATGTAAAAATATTTTAGCCAGCCAGGTAATTTCATGTTCAAAATAAAATCCAGTATATTGTAACCATATAGACCCAAAGTAACCACGGTTTTCGGTAAATCTTAAATTCTTTACTGTAGACTCTGTCCGTTAATTTTTATTAAATCATAATTTTCAAGCTGGTTTCAGAGGTCCTAGAAACATACCTTAATGCGAAGAAATGAGAACTCTTTGCACAATCGGCCTGTTGATGCTTAGTAGACGAAACGAGGCAGAAAACGGGAGAAGTGGAAGATTTGCTGGAACTGGAAAACAATTCTCCTGGAATATACCGCGGCCACTCAAAGAAATAGGTCAACCGTCAGTGTTTAATTACCGGCTCTAAGCCCCCTCTTAGTACTAAGTCCCCGCTAAGCCTGTTTTATGTCGTAAGCATCATAAAGTCACAGAAGATCCATTTCATTATCGAAGTGCCACTGGTCATGCAAAGCAATATGCAAGTCAATTTTAGTGTCGTATTAAAGTTATTGACATCTTCAACAATGGCTTTCCCATTACCCAGCCGTTCAAGTTATGCCATCGTAGATCGTAAATTCAGAATGGATTCTGACATCTGATAAAATGTTTCACGCAATTCTTTCTTGCAACATTCGTGAAATATACAATGAGACATTAAAATATTTTTTAAAGCAAATTTTGAATTTATTTATTATGAATAAAAAAAATTATTTAAAAATATATATAAAGGGTGTTTCAGGGTTAAGTAGCCAAACTACAAAAATAAACTAAGGACCTCAAAATAAGAAAAAAATTTTCTCCGAGGGTATGTCCGCAAACGCTTTGCTTAGGAGATATTCACACCTAAAGATTTTCGTTGTTATGAATTATTTACGTTATATGAAATATATAAAATATATTTATTTGTCCTAACTACTATATTAATTAAATGTAAACATTAACATTCATATTAAATGTTGTTCAATGTGAATTCCTTGAGCATTAAGACAGGCTCGGCATCTTTCTTCAACAGCAGAAGTGGCAGAACGGAACTGGGTATGTGTTATTGTTTCACAAGATTCAATTATCCTCTTAATGCTCAAGGAAATCACTTAAAAAAAACATTTAATAAGGATATTTTTTCTTATTTTGAGGTTCTTAGTACATTTTTGTAGATTGGAAAATTAACCCTGAAACACCATGTAAACGACCATATTTCTTTGTGAATACAGATGAATATAGCAAAAAAAAATTATATATCATATTCTTGATCTCGTTTTGTAGATGTCTTCACTTATATCGTGCATAACTATTTATATATTAAGCACATATCATATTTTTTTTTTTAAATTTCGATTATGTAAAAAATAGTTTTGATTATATTGCAGTTGACAATATTACTAGTGTGTATTAAGCTATTAAACCAATTCGATATTATAATAACAGTAAGTAAATAATCGTTATATAATTGTTATTATTTTATCACAATACAGTAATACACTTCAATAGTCAACATCGGTTAAGATCAATCACACATTGTATTACATTAAAATATTCTCACATTATAACGCGAGAAATATGTTGAATATTGTCACAACTTCAGACAAGTTTAAAAAAAAAAATAAACAAAAAAAAAATAATAAACTTGGACCGTATTATAGGTGATTTCCCAAGTTATCACAATATTAATGGCAAACGTTAGTCAAAATCACAATCCAAACCACCACCTTACCTGGTAAGGCACATGTCGTCGTTTGCAACATTTTTCCTACGAAAATCAAATAAAAAATAATTATTAATATCATTAAAATAAGTGCAATATATTCAAAAACATAATATTCACGAAATAAAATAATTATTAATTATTTTTTTAGTTATTGCAAGAAAGACGGGTTAGTATAGTTTTCATGATAAGAGGTTAATTTTTTAAATGATATTCTTTCAATAAAAACAATATAATTACTTTTTAAATGAAAATTAAAAAATACGTAGAAGATGAAAACATTCGATATTCATTCATGATTTATTTATGTCCATGTACACTTTTTCTAGTGGCTTGTGGCGAGCTAATTGCGACGTACAATTATAATATAACTTATTTTATGAAAAAAACACTTGTAAAATCTTGTAGCTGTGATTTTTTTTTTAAATCTACTTAAGACTGGAATTTTTATTGACATGTCCCAACTTACTACACCACCTGGGACACAAATTTCGATTAAGATATTTCTGAGTTTAATTTTTCTAATGGAGTTGAGTAATTGGTTAGTAATCACCGAGTGAGTGGTTGCCTTATCCAATTGAGCACGTACATCTCAGCTCCTCGACCGTACAAATATTGACTCAATCAATCGAAAGCTTCTTGTTCTATCCAGTTGCTGTTGTTTAATGTTGTTATATTTGTCTTGGCAATTTCCTAATAATCTACATCAAATAAATACATAATGTATTTACAAACCAGCCTGAGAACACTTAACAACGAGGTGTTTTGAAATCAATTTTGATCCTTTCAATCAAATAAGTACATTATGTGATAATAAATACTAGTTGCCCCGCGAAATTCGCAGATAATTTTGTTTAGTGAAGAAATATTAAAACAATATGGAAATAAGTAGTTCCTATGTATCATGTAAGGAAGGAATTAATATTTTTTCCTTAGTCGATTACAATATTCCATTGAACATAATAGACCAAAATATTTATATAAATTGCTTTGCTAGGACCTATTTTTAAATGCTGACTGGAAAGATAATAAAAGTAATAAAGACAAAATAATGCTCCGATCATAGAGTATTCTCAATTACTAAAAAAAATAAAATGTAAGAACAACCAAATGTCTTTAAGAAATAATAAAGTTAATATAAAAGCCAGGAAAAAAAGGGTAGTACATTATTCTACTCCTAAATGCAATATCTTTAAACAGAAGACATTATTGAGTATACCAAACTAATGGATCGTATCTTATTTAATAATTGTCCGAATTTTACGATTATTTTTTTGTTTCTTTAGATAATTTAGTATTCTTTCTAATTATCAGCGGTACAATCCAGAGAAAAATGCATACTTTTTGAGTTATTCGCAAGTAAAGTTTCTTTTATTCCATAACTTTCCCCCCAGACATTTCAGGGGGATAAGACTATTTTTCGCCTGAGAAGGAGCAGAATATCTTCAAAATGAGTGGTCAATTATTGGATTTGATGAAGAATTGATGAAGTTATGGCGTAACGACAAAAATACACCTTTTAGAAATATTATATAATATTCAATACTAGTTGGCCCGAGCGAATAATTAGCAGAAAATTATCTATAGTGATAAATAGCAATACAATATGGAAATAAGTAGATCCTATGTATTATGTAAGGAAGGGATTAATATTTTTTCATTGGCTGACTACAATATTCCATTTAGCATAATAGACCATAAAAATTGCACTTTTCTTTGCTAGGACTTATTTTTAAACGCTGACTGGAAAGATAATAAAGACAAAATAAAGCATCGATAATGGGATTTTCTAAA